TTACTACATAAACCTTATCCTCATTCAAAAAAAGCAGTGCAATTTAGAATGAGAGCAGAATGCGTGCCTCAGCCAAAAGAGGTCTATTCCTTTTTAAAGAACTTACCCGCTCTTTGCCTGTCCTTGAGGCGGGTTCCTTTTTGGGAGCCAAAATAACGCTGCCATTTTGCTGCTCAACATTTACCGATTTGCTGCTTGAAGAGTCACATCCATGTTCAACGGTCGGCTTTTCTGGAAAAAACATCTTAGCGAAGTTCCCATTATAATTTCTACAGTCAAACTAAACTCCAGCACGGTTGAAAAAATGGATTTTTCTCGAACAATCAACGCAGCTCTAGCTCTCACTCCTACAATAACAATCACGACAGCGATATTTTCCACAGAATTGATCTATTCTCGGAAGATGGTCTTCGAGACCACGCGACGTCGCGGGCGCGACATTCTGCAAACATCGTTGGCTTGCAGTACAGTGCAGCTCGCGATAAACTCGCCGCGTTACTAGTTAATGCAGATTGTGTTCGCTTCAGTTTTCAGCCACGCTCTTCCCTCACAAGGGAAGGATGGTAGGTCGAAGTGGCCATTTGAAATGAAATGTATACCGGCTGGAAGGTCTTCGGACGGGAATTACGAAACCGTCTTCTGCTGCGGACCTCCCAGAAAGAAGTTACGGAGCTTTTTTGGGGGAGAATACACTACAAATTGGCGGCGTAAGGCTGACGAGATCGTGGCAGCATGGCCGAGTGGATACGTCGTAGGGCTCACGGATGCGTGGTCGAGGGTTTGGATCCTTGATGCGTGTGCTCTTTTGCATTTTTTCGAAAGTGGTCCCTGTGCACTTCAAAGCTATTTTGCATAACACTTGTCCCTGATAATGTCGTGATGTAATGATTCTGAACTGATGGAGCCATTGCGAACCATTCCATAGAGATCACTTCTGGCTGTTGTCTTCTTTCTTTGATTTGAAAAGCATACACAACAAAAGTGCATTCCAAAGGAAGATTTTGCCTTCAAATGACTTTATTCTCCAAACGAGAAGATGAGTGTAGTGGGGAAAACACTTCCATGTGAAGTGGCGTTGATGTGACAAACATGCTGCTGAAGATCG